AATCTGCACTTTTAACACAATTACCTGTGATTCATAGGAAAAGCACTGCTATAAGTCACATAAATTCCATTTTTCTGTCCTCCAATGGATAAAACTCAACGTGCTGATCAAAACCGAACTTCACAGTACCCTCAAGTTTCCAGCAGCTGGTCCTTCGTAGAACTAGGAAGAGCCAGAGTGGAGTCAGCTACTAGGACTTGATCTCTTTCTCTGTCTCTCTCTCTGTACCCCCCTCTCTTCCCTCCCTCTTGTCTTTGCTCTTTCTCCTTGCTTTGGTGATAAAATCATATTATACAGAGGAGCAGCAAAGGGTCTAATTTCCTATGCTAATTTACTTTTTTAATGTTAAAGACCATTAGCCAAAGCTAGGTAAAGCAAAAATAGTTATCCTCTTTTATTGCTATTTTTTCTGCGTCTTTACTTTTTATGTGACCTCCTCACTCTTCCTTGTGCATCTCCTAGAAGGCAGAAGAAGTAAATATTTATTGAGTATCTGGCATCTGCAGGCACAGAAAGTCAGTTTTCCTCATTTAATTTTTATACCAACTAGAAATACAGCCATGGGGAGGGGGCCACGGAATCATGCTCAGCCAGTCCTCATGAACACATTCTCCAAAAGTAGTACTTTTTCAATGACATTCTAAATGTTTATTATTGTCACAACTATGAGTTAGAATATGAAGAAAATATGTTAGAGAAATAGAGAACAAAAGGGAAGTGGTGAGACCTTGGGAGAAAACTGTCATAAAATGTGGCCATTTTTTTCATGATTGCCTTCTGTTTTGAACAACATCCCAAAGTCTTGCCCAAGTCCATTCTCCTTCAATCTCCAGCATTTTTAAAACCAGCTATACCTCTGATAACAAACCTAAGAGTCTGGGTTTTTAAATTATTTAGTTATTTTATTGTATAGGACACTGGGGCTCTGATAGATTTAGCCTTTGTCCACAGTTACAGAGACAAAATTCAGCTTTTCTGATTCTGCATATTGCTTTCCATTCCATCGCTGGCATTTCCATTCTATTCCTGGCCACCCCCACTTTACATCCCAGGGACTGGAAGCCTGAGGCTTATATGTCCACAGATCCCTGCTGACAGTGTCCAGGTATATTATATGCCACTAAAGAGAGGCATTTCACAGATTTAGAGGAAGTAACTGGGATTGCTGAGTGTCCTGTGTCTCCAACTCCACGACTCCATGAAACTGAACAGAAAAAAATGAGAGCTAACAACAGTCTTCTCTGATCTCTATTTTTTGAGTACCCAAAGGTTTTGTTGCACCTAAATCCTTATATTAAATTATTTCCTGTTTGAACGTCTAGAATAATTTCTATTGTCTTCACCCAGCCCTCACTAAGACAACCACATAGCTGTTCACTCCTGTACTCAAGCTAACATTCTGTGCTGTACATCTTTCTGTATAAACGTACTTTATTTACAAAAATTTCCTATTTGTCAACTTCTCCTATACAAACTGAATTGTTTTCCTGGCAGAGGTCATAATATAATCTGTTATCAGTGTTTCTGGCACATAATGATGCCAGAACAACTGGCAGCTGCTGAATAACTAGCAGTTGACTGAATGAACTAAGTTCAAGCCCACGTCTAATATTTCTTTCCTAAACATCATCTATCTACTCCCATGACATTTTCCTTTCAAGAGGTAGAAATTCAGAATGGGATCGCTGGGATCAGAATATTTTTAAGTCCTGAAACTCTAATGTCTTAAGAGATTAAAGGGCAGGGTGGGAAATACATGAGGTATTCAAGGAAAGATTTATTTTGTGTGAAAGCTACTGGAATATCAAGAGATACATTTCTAGGGAATAGCTTCTGTTGTGACTCCTTAAAAGTTGGCTTTGAGGAGATGAAGGGATCCTGATAGTCTCATTGAATGTCTTCATCTATACCCATAACTCAGCTCTGATTCTACATCTATTTCCTTTCCCTTTTAACTGTACTTACTTTTACAGAAGTTTCATTATTATTGCTGATTCATACCCAAACCTCATGGTTTATGCTCTTATGGAAGTTAATAATCAGAGATGCCCACTTATATTTTTATACATTTTATAAGTATATATTTAAAATTTTTCTTTTATGTTTCTGCCAACTCTATCCTAAATAGATAGATGCTTTCATATTCATATCTGCAGGGGAAGAATATAATATAGCCTCTGATCAGCAGGCAGAGATCTATGTTCATTATGGACTTTGCTTTGTAAAGATCATATGGGTAAATGTTTTTGGGTAGCAGAGTGGTTCATCACTTTCTTGTCAAAGAAGGGATAGCTGTGTTGTGGATCTAGGTAAGAGGGACTGCTGACAGCCTTGCAAAATTTGTGTGTCCTAAGCATGGCACAGAAAAAACTGAGATCCAGGTGCCTAAAGGGCCATGCTAGCCAGGTGCTGACTGTCTCATGAATGCCTATGTGGATAAATAACTTGATGATAGGAGGAAGTCTCCCACCAAAGTCTTATAACCTGTTAGATAATTGTTAGAGTCCAGAACCTTAACATACCCTTACACAAAATTAGAGTAGATTTTCCTCCAGCCTGATGAAATTGGCTCTCTTGAATGAGAAACAAAGTCAATTTATGACCATAAAAATTATGTTTTATACATACTGAAATTTTGGATTGAGATTTACATCTGTGTAAAATCAAGAACTCAGACTTACTGAAGGAGATGCTCTATGCCTTCATTCTGAGTCAAAAGCCACCAGATTATGGGCTTTCCAACAGTTCACTTTGGTTGGAAGCAAGAAATGGCTTAATCCTTGACTGGCTATTTCCTGACCAGCACTGGAAGGGAATAATCAAGGAAAAAGCAATAGTTGGAGTAACTGAGGGCCTCTTGGTTTAAGTAGAATAAATATCAACACAAGTTAAAATCCATGATAGAGGAAAAAGAATTAAGTCAAACTTTTGCAATCAGTTAGCCAATGAACTGCTACTTTCAGAACCAGAAGAGTTTACAAGCTACTTATGAACATGCTGCTTATCACTCAAATAGTGCTTGTTACATACCAAGCCCCATTCTAAATGATTTAGCCCACACAATCCTTACCATAGGCCCATCATATTATTAATGAGGCATTTTATATTATTAATCCCATTATATGGATGAAAACATGATGGCATATGGAAGTTTTGTGACCTATCCAAGGTCATATCGATGGTAAGAGGCAGTTCTGAGATTTGAACTTAAGCAGTGTAGCTACAGAGTTCAGCTTGACCATCACACAACACTGCCTTTGCCCGTGAAAAAAAACCCACAAATCTCGGAATGGTATAACCCCTCCCCCACCCCCAGTGAAGAGACTATCAGGCCCACACCTTTTATTTTAAAGATGAGGAAATAGCAGCAAAGACGGTAAAGAGATTTTCTCAGGGTCATGTAGCTCAACACATCACTCATCTTTGTTTTATGATAAATGATATTCATTGTCAATCAAATTAATCACTTTGTTATTAATATTTCCCAAGAGGCAAATCAAAAGTTTTAAATCCAGCCTTTTATGGCCTTCCAGGAATTTTACTTAAAATGCTCTGAAGCTGACATGGGACCTGAGTGACGGGATGCCAAGTGGTCTCGGAGGCCAGGAAAAGCACCTTGATGGGTAATCCCCTGGGTGTCTCGGAAACAAGGCTGTGCCAGGAAACCACTTAACAGAAGAGCAGGCAAGAAATCAGGGAAAAGGAACCCAAGGACTTCAGTGTAGTCATTTAGGAATATATGCTGACCAAGGTTTTCTCTACTCTTAATGAAATACCTAGGATTAGAAACCTGTGTTTTGTAAATGTGATCTTTATGTTGCTTTATTTATGAAATATCAATTTCAAAACAAGATTCCTATGGAAAATTAGTCTCCCCACAAAAAGCAAAGGATCATTTTGATTCTCCCTTGCCTATTAGAAAGGACTAACATATAACTGTACTGACTCATTGGCATGTCCGAAGTCCACATGACAAAGTACCGTTAAAGAAAATAAGACCCACTGCTATCTCCTGAAGAATTATTTGATTGTGGGCAGAATATATATATTTTAAAATCCATCACAGGGACAAGATACTGCACCAAGGAAGCTGTATTATTTAGATCACTGGACATTTAGTGACCTCTCATCTTAATCCTTTCTGCTTTGGCTGTGCTGACATGTCCTGTCACTGATAAGCTCAGACTTGCCTTATTACAACCACTGTTCTTATCTGAAGGCTGAATCAGATAGTATTAAAAAAAATGTCACTTACTTGCTTCTAACCTTTTCAACCCTTATATCAATTTTCATCCTAAGAATACTCTTACTGATTGCAGAAAAAAAGAACATATGATGATGAAAATGATGCATCTGTCAACTTACAAAGACATCTTAAAGATGAAAATAGAGGCAAGAAAGTAATTGAACCTGTGCTGAGAGGCTGCTGACAAAGCCCAAAGAAACAAAGAAATATGAGAGTTCACTTGGGCAACAGTGGCACATGCTAAAACTCTTGCTCCCAGAGCCATGATTTGTTTTAAGTTAATGGTGGGAAGAAAGTGCTGTATACCTGAAACAAATTGTTACTGTTATTACTAAGGTCCTATTTATTAAGTTAGAAAAACTTAACAGATTTGGAAATTAAAGTTAGAAGAAACACATTTTTAATTTTTAAAATATCTACTGAAATTCTGATGTTCTCTCCAATAAATAGATTGTTTCAATTTGGATATATTCCTACAAACCTATAGAATTGTTGCTGTTGCCCAGAGGACACTGGAGGGAAGACACCAACTCATGACCAACCCAATCGGATCAAATCTCTTTTGATTTTCCTTGAAGGAGCCTGGTTCTGTGGATTTTACCTAACCAGGTAAACAGCTAACTTCACTGTGGCTTCCAGACAAACCGAGCAATGAACAAAACAGCAAAATGCACGCGGTGACCAAAGCTCCCCAGGCTCCTAAGGCTTTCTAATACCTTCCACTCAGGCAAAGACAAATTTGGCAGGTACTTACCGCATTGAAATTGGGGAAGAGGTTGACTGCAGCTGCAGTGTCAAGAGGAAAGGGAAGAAATGGTTTAATATCCAGCGATGGTTGCAAAGGAGGGGCTGGTGGACGGACAAGGGCCGGGAGAGCAGGACTCTGGCATGTACCACCTGTGAAGACCAGAGCAAAGGGAGCAATCAGGGACACCACGCATGGAAAAAAACACCAAGGTTGCTTCTGAGACAAAAAGGCCAGCTTTGTGGGTCACTGGAAAAAACAAGACATGGACTCTTTTGACCTCAACTGGGAACTGGCCAATGAGCAGATTTGCCATTAGGCAGAGGGAGCAAGTTGAACTGCTCCATTTTCCTTTGATTATAACTATCTGGTTATGTAAGTAATAGTCAACATTTCAAATGCCCCAACCTGTCTTTATTTTTCCTTCTTAGAGCTCCAGATTGGGCCAGTCACAAATCTGCAACCAAGATCTCTGGTTTCTAAAGAAAAACCTCTTCATCACACACCCATCCCTCTTTGAAAACTAAACCACTCACAATATGCATCAAGTTTGAGTGATTATTTTACAGAACTGCTCTTTTCTATCACATCCAAAACTCTGGCAGCAAGATGACATGAACCTGGCACATAAAACAAATTTAACCTCAAACCCAGGCAGCTGTACCTTGCTGCTGTAGCAACTGAAGGATTAAAAACCAGCAAAACCAGTGCTATGATGTCTGAACTGTTCAGCAGCCCTGTAGCTCTGAGTATTCAACAACTCCCTGTCTCCTTCCCAGTCATGAGTAGGTGGAATTTAGATGGCCACTGATGAGCAGGCAGTGGGAATATTATGCCAACAAAGACATCCCCTTTGCCTACCAGCAGGCAGCCAGCGTTTTGCAAGACAGCATGCACCTTTGTCCTCTAAGGACTCCACCGCACTCAGGAGCTGGAAGGATGGACGCCCATCCTCAGTGTTCAGTCCCCCATATTTTGGTAACATTCCAGAACATCAATTTGCTGTTAAGTAAAGGCTGTTTGAATCCTAGGAAACTGTTAAAATATGCCAGCATTCTTCTAATCTGAGATGCAAGCAACAGACTGTAAAAACCTGCTGGTGAGAATCCAAGAAGCATTAGGAAAACAAAATGCAGTGGGATTTTTTTCTCTCTAGCAGTAAAGAATTCTAGGAGACAAGCTTGTGCCACTTACTTGCCTGCCATCTCATTTTTAAAAACAAAGTAGAGTGAGTCTCCTTGTATAAATTACCTGTACAAATTTCACAACAAACTCTCTGGCCAGCTGCACAGAGAACATCATCTTGCCCTCAATCAGTTATCTGTGCACAAAATTAACGTTCTGAAAATGATTCCCCAATGATAAATCCAACCCTATGGGGCCATAGAGGATCTGCTAACAAGGTAGATGACTTAGTACCTATAACAGAAGCAATCAGCACAGGATTTAATTAGCCATACACAAGAACCATCAGCTCTCCTGCTCCCAGGTATAAAATCGGCTGGAGCCAAATTAGGAAAAACAGTATTTTCCCCAGTTTTACCTTCCTTCTTGAAATAATAATAGCATGACCAACAGTAGCAAAGTTAATAACTGAAGTTTGTAATCAGTAAACTAATTTTCAAAGTAGTACAAGGCAGGAAATAAAGGACAGATGTGAAAACAAATAGAGATAACAACAAAATATAACAAGTCTACATTCACCAGAGCACACTATAAACTTAGTTTACCGTCCACTTGGTCGCGTATTGAGTGTGAGTGTGTGACAGCGTTTAAAGAGGGCATCCATAAAACTTTGGTGACAGACCTGTCATGAGTTTAGTGTTGTTAAAACTTTCTCTTTTAATAAAAAGTTTAAAAACTAAAATAAATTTGTGGTTGGTATATCTTTTAAAAACTCAGAAGTAAGGCCGGGCATGGCGGCTCATGCCTGTAATCCCAGTATTTTGGGAGGTCAAGGTGGATGGATCACTTGAGGTCAGGAGTTTGAAACCAGCCTGGCTAACATGGTAAAACTCTGTCTCTACTAAAAATACAAAAATTAGCTGGCGTGGTGGCACATGCCTGTGATCCCAGCTATTTGGGAGGCTGAGGCAGAAGAATTACTTGAACCCAGGAGGCAGAGATTGCTGTGAGCCGGGATCACACTACTGCACTTCAGCCTGGGGGAATGAGCAAGACTCTGTTTCAAAAATAAAAACTCTAAAGTAAATTTTGGTTGAAATCAGTGGTGTGCTGAAATTTAATAAATAATTTTAAATTACTTTCATTTTTGTTGTTTTTGTTGTTCTGAGACAGGGTCTTACTCTGTTGCTGAGGCTGGAGTGCTGTGGCACCATCATGACTCACTGCAGCCTCAACCTCCTTCACTTAGGTGATCTTCTCACCTCAGCCTCCTGAGGAGGTGGGACTACAGACATATGCCATCATGCCCACCTAGTTTTTGTATTTTTAGTAGAGACGGTATTTTGCCATTTGCCCAGGCTAGTCTCAAACTCCTGAGCTCAAGCAATGCATTCACCTCGGCCTCCTGAAGTGCTGGGGTTACAGGTGTGAGCCACCATGACTGGCCCTAAATTACTTTCGTGTCACACATCATTCTTTGCAAAGGATATTCACGTACATTCACCTTGTTTGGTTCTAAGATTTCAGAAATTAGGTAAGGGCTAACATAACATCATGTAGAGAGAAAAATATGTTGATAAACTCTTCAGCTATTTATCTTGCTTCCACAGAAAATTCCATGCTTATACTTATAAGAAAGCAATTTAGCAAGAATATATTCTACAACTGTTTCTTTTTAAATCCTCCTCTGGTTTAGGTTATCCAAAGAAGTTAAGGAATAGCTCAAGCTGATATTTTATCTAGCACAATGAGGGGCATAAATAATAAAAATATGTCCATTTTATTATCAGGTAAATTTAATTTCCCCTTCTCTCTTTTAGGATATATATTTCATTTACATTTACATAAACAGTTCAAGGCCCTCTCTCAATGTTGCAACTGGAGTTTCCTTCCTAGGTGATTAAAAAATAAACATCAAAGAAGAGTCATAAACACTTCAGAAAGTTCGAGAAAATATTTAAGCTCATCTCTTCTCACCTGTTGGAAGAGAGCAAGCTATAAGATTGTAGGAAAGCAGAGGACACGTGGCTACATATTTTTAGACTATTTGCTATGCAAATACAGGTGTAGTGGATGCTGTAGGTCTGATTCCCAGACCCCCGTCATCACCAAGGCACTCCTCTCAGCTGCTTGGAGTGCTGGTGGCTGATGCCTGAGAGCCTCTTTACAAATTGCCCTGGGCCAAAGGGAGCTGCCTCACCCAAGGTGACCCTCCTAAGTAGAGGATTTGATAGCCCCTGCAATGACTGATTCATGCAGGAGTTTACTGGCTTTGCCCCCTTGCCTCAAGGCAAGAAAACTCTGAAGCTCTATTTTACCGCCAAAGTTCCTCATGGCATCTAGGGTAGCCTGAGGCCTCTGATGTGACTACATCACAATCCAGCTCCTTCCTCTTCCCAATCCTATGTTCCTTACTCCTCACAAATGATGCTCCCATGAGCGCTCCCCAGTAAAGTCTCAAAGTTCACTTTCAGAATAACCTGATCTGTGACATCAGGATAGAGCAATTCAGGAGTTTAAGTAAAATGTAAAATTGCTTTATTCTAAAATAGATGCTTGCCCGCAAACCTATAGCCCTAATATTGAGGCACAAAATTGAAGCTACCTCTTAAAAATTATCTGTGACTAAGATTTCTGCTTTTAAAATCTGGAATAGTCCTAAAATATTTTACTTGCACCAATCTGTAATTGCTCAGCAACAAGAATACTATTTGCAAATAGTGCAAAATCAAAACTGGCAAATATAGTATGTTTCATCTGTAAAGCAAATTAAAATATTCTGAGAAAATAGCTATTTCATTTTCCCATATTTAAATAGAAACTATTGCATTTAAGATATGAATACATGTTTATTATTATTTTACTTATCACAAAATTATCTTGATAACTATAAACATGAAAATATATAATAAACTTGTAGACCTTTCTATAGGTGAGAAAGTTTTGTTATTAATGTTTACCAACCATGTCACTTTATTCATTGGAATGTCACACTTCTGGGAATATTAATATTCTTATTTTGAGGCAGGTCTTTTAAAGCCTCTGTGGAGTAGGGTCAGAAAAATACGTAAACTCTATTTCTAGTACCACATATTTCATAGCCTATGCTATTTTGTTACACAGTTTTAACAAATCAGTCTGATTTCAGAGAAGTTACTATCTCTCAATACTAAATTTGTTATGTGACATTAAAGTCAACAAATAAAAAAACATTTATTAGTACAGAATAGTAATTAATGAGGTATTGAATAATTAAGGTAAATTAAGTGATTAATGTTCACAAAATTCTTCTCCCTAGTTTTCTGATGATTTTGTTAGTGTATGTTTAGAATTTAAGTTGCAAATAGTGAACTATAAAATCAACATATTGGCTGGGCGCAGTGGCTCATGCCTGTAATCCCAGCACTTTGGGAGGCCGAGGCAGGCAGATCATGAGGTCAAGAGATCGAGACCATCCTGGCCATGGTGAAGCCCCATCTCTACTAAAAATACAAAAATTAGCTGGGCGTGGTGGCACGCACCTGTGGTCCCAGCTGCTGGGGAGGCTGAGGCTGGAGAATCTCTTGAACCCAGGAGGCAGAGGTTGCAGTGAATAGAGATTGTGCCACTGCACTCCAGCCTGGCAACGGAGCAAGACTCCCTCCTCAATATACCTAAAATCTATTATTACTTACTGG